ATAATAAATTTATACAAAAAAATTCAATTCAAAATAAATGAGGCTGTAATAAATTTATTAAAATTGAAGGTTCTGTCAGATGAAATTCGTTTTAGAACTTGTATCGAATTTTTTGCAAAAGGATTTTAACTTTTGCAAAAAATTATCTCATGGTATGTTTCAATTAGTCAGTCTCGAAGAATATCCTACAACAATTACAACCACAGACAATAAAGACGGTGCTCAAATCTGATATAATTAGGTTAACAAAAATCCGACCTGCAATCAATTGTTAGGAGAATTTGTTTTGAAATTTGTTATAAGGGAAAAACTAAAGTCAAAGCAAGGAACAAGCTTACTACTTGACAAAGTAGCGCTCTTTGTCGTCTCCTCAATTCAATCGTCATCAAAATAGCAGAAAAATGAGGCACCATTGTTATTATGAATAACGAAAATTATATATCGATTTGTGAAGATGTTTTAAGGAATAAATGTTTTTATAAAAAGTAAAAACAGACCCATACCCTCATTAGTGAAAAAAGGGAGACAAGTTAATTCTGAAACGAAAGAAAACAGTTTCATCAATGTAAATAGAATCTAAAATATAATGTTCAATTCAAAGAACAAAAGTGTTTTACAGCCTTCCAAAAATACACATGAAATTTGATCAAATTCCTCCATTAAACCCGATTTATAGTAGATATGAATGTTGTACGACAAAAATCTCTGAGTGGCGAGACGCTTTTTTATTTCCAATAGCAAAATGGCTTTCGACTTCTGCCCAAAATCAAAACACATTTGATTTTATTTGTAAAATAAATAAATTCTGTAAACGAAAAAATGATTTTCATAAATGCTTTTTGGTCACCATGAATGTTTCGTCTCTTTATCCATAGATTGATCTCGATGAAGAGATTGAGGAATACAGCAAAACTTTTGAGAAACGCAAAACAAACCATTTTGTCAAACTTTATTTGCAGACTTATACGATTCGTTTTAGAAAGCAACACGATGAAGTCTGGACAAAAGTTTCACAAACAAACCAAACGATTTGTAATAGAGACCCCACCCCACCATGGTCGTTAAATGTTTTTAGGACAAACTACAAAGGCTCATGAACCATTATATTGGTTGCGATTTATTGTTGCTATTTTCTTCATCTGGGAACATACCCAGAAAAGTTTACTAATATGTCTACAATTTTGTGATACTTTTGCACGAAAGCACAATTTTCGATCACATATAAAATTGACATCTTAAAGTTTCATTAAATTTCGTGTTGAATTGTTTGAGTCTAGAGTAAATTTCTCAAGGGGTTATGTAATGACCGAACTATTTTGAAAGCCTACCTCATCATATATTTATATTTACTGTCCTTTTGAGCACCCGTATCACATGAGGAAAACCAAAAGGACAATTTTTGTGTATAAGGCTAATTTAAACGGGGATAAAAAGATTCTTGCAAGTAGGCTAATGATTTCATTCGGCATTATGTTAAACGTGGCTATCAAGAGTCGTGACTGAAACAAATTGACAATTAAAGAGCTAAAAATGAAGATTACCAGAATTTTACCAAAGATCAAAACAGCGAAAAACATTGACAAAATCGCATTAGTCATCCACTGACACCAGTAGCGTGAAGATGTGTTGGGGTCAGAGGATAAGATGACCCCCGAGCATCTATATTGGGAGGGCATCCAATCAAACAGTGTGTAAGGACATTATTATTATAAATAAATAAAAATAATAATGAAAATTATAAAAAAAATCAAACATTAATATTTAAACTCTTTTAAATTAAATGAAATATAAAAATAATAAATATACTTCCCAGGATTCAGCAAAAACTGTTCCTGATGGAAATACGGACATCCCACCAGAAGACGTTAAATTCAATCTCTTCGACAAAAACCTTGGTACAGGCAACACGTGTTTGAATTCTCTCTGTGATATGGCGTGTTATAATACGGAGTGGCTCCTCCCTTTTATCACATGCACAATGAAACAATCGCAACTTACATAATACACCCACCAGTACATACAAGAAAAATATAAATAAATTGTATGAAATTAATATACAATTTACCATGTTTTTCCTCTTATTTATGTACGTTTTATTTCCTGTCAAGTATGCTTTTATCTTCATGAAAACGAGGATCATTTCTGATGATGTGATGCGAGTAACCCCCATCAGTGAAATAAAAATTTATTTTATATTTAATTTGAATAAAATATTTATTTAAAGTTTCATCTGTTTTTACATATTTAAAATATCTTCCTTTCTTATAATTCTCAGTACAAGGCTCTATATGTTTCCCTTAAAAGAACAGGACATCACCAAACATCGACAAGCATTGATCCTAAACTAAAAGAATATAAATGATAATTAGATGAAAAAAACAAAAAACAAACAAACAATTCAACCACCATATTGAGGGACTTTTTATTTCTTCGAACAACAAAATGATGTCATCCGTTTTCCGGTCTCTATGCTGATGCCATAACTATTTACTCTTGTCTTAATGGTAACCTGATGTTCTATTTGAAATTGGCAACTTATCTCACAGAAGACCTACAATTTTTGTTCAAATTCAACCTTTCTGATTGGTAATATTAAACGTTTTTCAAACAATACCAGTAAAATCAGATAGTCAAAACTTTTTATCCTTGAAAAAAAAAAAATCTTACAAGAAAAATTAGAATGTCTCTTGAAAAGTGAAATTATTTAAGATGCCGCCAAGTCACAAAGATTTAAACAGACACACAGACATCACGTACGTCGCCTCCATCATAAGACTCTTTGCAAATTCACAACACGAACCAGTTCTTTCACCATTTTTTCTACCTATCCTGATGATGACTTATCAAAGTTGAAACATTTGAACCAATTTCATTTATCTTCCAGTAAAATTTCAAATAATTTCTTCAGACTATAAGGATTATTTGTCATTTGAAAAGTCTATCATTAAAACAATCAACACAAAATGTCTGTTGTCTTTAATATCATATATATATATATATATATATATATATATATATATTGTGTGTGTATTTAGGCAGCATCCTTTCATTCATACACGTTTCATTAAATAATATACACAAGTCTGAAGTATAATTGGTAACATCATAAGACTCTTCCCATACTTCACATCTCAATTCACTCACCAGGTCATGTGACGTCATGAGTCCATTTCTTTTTTCAAGCGTCCTATATGCACTTATTTAAAGTTGCTGAAAATCATCTATGTAAATAATGAACTATCATCGCTGTCTTGTTTTTGCTTAATATGTCGTAATTGACATCTTTGAAATGGCTTATGAAGGAAAGCGTGGATTGTATTAAAAAAATTGGATCAATATTGTGAGGATTATTTGTTCAATTAATGATTAAAAATTATCAAAAAAATTTAATAAAATAAAAAAAACTTGTCTTATTATTTAATTTTATATATATATATATATATATATATATATATATATATATATATATATGTATGTATATATGTATGTATGTATATATATATATTTATGTACTAGCAGTAGAGCCCGGCGTTGCCCGGGGATATAACAGTAAGAGATAGATCAAGTATCCACCATCATAAAGACTGAAAAATAAAATTGACAAAGATTATTGTTTAAGGTTGACGGACACGCATGTCTTAATTAGTTTTTTTTTTTTTACGAATTGGTCAAACCCAAACTCAAACAAAAACATTGTTTTCAATCGTTATGAGTCTCTACCGATTGAATAGAATTTTATTATAAACAATTGTCTTGTAAATGGAATTTTTAAAGCATTCTGAATGTAAAAATAAAGAAAAAGTGTGCAAGACAATAAGAAACATTACCGGCAAAAAAAAAGTGTAGTTTTGTTTTATCGGCAAAAAAAAATCCGATGTGAGTTGTCCCCTTCCATTTTCACAATAAGACAATAAGAAACACTACATTGCTAAAAAAAACTGAAGTTTTGTAAATCGGTTGAAAAATTTAGCCTTTCTGTAATCTTTTAGTTTTATCCTATGATTTTTACTTATTGAATACAGTAAAAAAAATTGCATATTTTGCTTGTGGTGATTCATAATTAGAATTCTGATTTGAATATATTTTCCACTTTTGTTTCTAATACAAAAAATTAACTTTATTTGGGTTTATTAATTATGATCTAACAAATCTTATTCATTTAGTAGCCTTTCTCTGTAATAATAATCTTTTTACAATTTATGATTTTTACTTATTGAATACAGTAAAAAAAATGGACACCATGTGTATTTAAATAGTTTCCCTGTTCCGGTTATTATTTTTTAGTTAGGACTTGTGTATGTTTAGATTTCATTATCTTTCCTAAAGATAAAGAATTTATTCCGATGTTTGTATTCGTACAATCAGTAGAGATCGTTAGATTATTGTTTAAGGTTGACGGACACGCATGTCTTAATTATTTTTTTTTTTTTTTATTTTTACGAATTGGTCAAACCCAAACTCAAACAAAAACATTGTTTTTAATCGTTATGAGTCTATATTGAATAGAATTTTATTATAAATAATTGTCTTGTAAATGGAATTTTTAAAGCATTCTGAATGTTAAAAATAAAACAGAAAAAAGTGTGCAAGAGAATAAGAAACATTACCAAAAAAAAAAAAAAAAAAGTTTTTGTTTTATCGGCTGAAAAATATAGGATCCTTATTTAAAGGAACCCACACACAAACAACCCGATGTGATTTGTCCCTATTTTCATATGTCTCTTAATCGTGTTTTCAAATTGATTTTGTGCAAAAACAATTATATTTTTCCCATTTTTGGCGCTGTTAGAACCACCACAAGGTAATTTTATGTAGTCCTATAAGTTTTGTTGAAATCGGTTGAAAAATGTATAAATATCCAATATATAAACGTTACAGAAACACACACACACACAATATATGTTTTATAATAAAAAGATATATATATGAAATTTATTGCAACTTATCAAATCTGGCAAACTGGAGAGCTTCGTTTGTTAAAAAGTTTTCCCTTGGACAGCTTAGCTTTCAGTTTTCTTTTTCTTTCGTTTGTGGTCATCGAAAAATGGCAGACTTGGTTGGCTTTGATAAACATAAGCAAATATAGAGAGAGGGGAAAAGTCGGAGGTGGAGGAGAGGGTAGAGAAAAGAAAGAAAAACAGTTTTAAGGAGAGGGAGGGATGAAATTTAGAAGCGGGAGAAGGAGGGATTCTGTAAAAAAGAAAGGATTTTATCAGTGATATTAATTCATCTCATTTTTTTTCTTAATTCTCATTACATTTGCAAAAATTTCCAAACGAAAATTTATTCACATCAAAAAGAAGAAAAACAAAAAAAAATTTTAATTAAAATAAATTTTATTTTTTTAAATTAATTTTCAAAATTTTCATTAATAAATAATAAAAAAGAATTTTAATTAAAATAAATTTTATTTGTAAAATTCATGAAAAAACTCAAGAAATTTTTTTTTTTAATTAATTTTCAAAATTTTCATTAAATTTTCTCCGTTGTTTTCAAAACAAACAAACAATTTTTTTCCAGAAACAAAAATCTTCGGATCATTTTCAGATATTTTCGGAAATTTGTACAGAACTTTTTCTGGTAAGAGAGAAAAAATTCCTTCCTTGTTGCAAAAATAAAAATGACCAAATTCATCTCCACAAAAATCGAGAATTTCTTTTTCAGTTTTGATGGTTTGAAGAATTTGGCCATTTTGATTCCAGACGAAGATTTCCGACATTCTTCGTCTTGTCCCCAATAAATTCTCGGTGGTGGGATCAGCGGAAAGAAGGGGGAGAGAAGAAAGAAAACCCGACCCCAGCGATTTCTCAAGTTGGATTCTTTTGATTTCATTTCCTTCTTTAGAATAAGAAAAAATTTCTTCAAAATCAGAATCGCAAACGAAAATTTTTTCGTTCGTTTGACACAAAGAATAAAATACATTTTCTTTTGTTTTGATTATTTTTTCTTTTTCTAAAAATGGCCGACTTTTTTTTCGCGCCATAAACAAAAGTCCTCCCCCCCATCCCGACCCACAAACAACGAAATTGTCTTGAGAAAGACAACAAATGTCCAGGGGTAAGAATCCTTCGAACCTCAAGGGACAATGGCCGACGAATTCCCCAGTCTCGCCGAATTCCTTGATCGAATCGTCGTCCCCATCGACAACAAACACGTGACTGTCTTCGTCGCTAACAGCAATCGACTCAATCGACCCCAGGTTCGAATCCTGCAGGCGGCATTCGATTTGAAGTTCCAATTCCCTTGGGGGCCATGTCTTAAAGTCCACGATTTCTTTTTGAAGTTGGTTCAATGATCGTTGGCACCATTCTGGAAAGGTCACCACAAAATGACCTTCCTCAAGAGGAGTGAACGATTCGTGGAGCCGCCCTGAAAGCTCCGCTCCCAGCGACCGTACACCAGAAACAACGTCCTCATCGTCGTTGCTGGCGACAAACAAATGGCGCAAATCCATGAGCCATTTTCCCGCCTCCTCCAAGAGATTTTCTTTCTCTTCGAGGAATTAGCGCCATTTCCTTTCTTCTTCGGTCGTTTTTCGTTTCATTTGGTCGCACAACTCTTCGGTCTTCATCCTTGTCTTTTCCAGAAATTCATTAAATTCCTGCCAGACTTTTGAGCAATTCAATTTGCAATCGATTGATAATTGTTCAATCGATTTCTTCGTCCGTTCAACCCCTTGACGGAGCTGCTTTTCGAAATCTTCGACATCTTCCTGCAAATCGACGAGGCGCTTTTTCGCTTCCAAGATTTCCTTCCTCAAAGACGACGAAGCCATTTTTTGATTTCGTTCAGGAAAAATAAAATCTGAAAATACAAACACAAAAATCTTTTCAGAAAATAAAAAAAGGTCAAAGTTCAGAACCATAAAAAGTCGATTTCTAAAACCGAAAATAAAATGACCTGAAATTTTTAGATTTTACAAGAAAAACAAATCGATTTTCAGAAAAATTTTTCTTCTAAAATCACAAATAAATAAAGGCGGGGGTTAAGAGAAAACAGATTAAAATATGAGAGAGTGGGGAACGGGGAATAGTGAGAGTGAGAGAGAAAAATAAAATATAGAGAGAGAGTGGGAGAAGGAAATATAGAGTGTGACAGAGTGAGTGAAAAATGAGAGAAATAGCAAGAAACAAAGGAGAGAGTGGTCATTGATGCAGAAGTGAGAGGGAGAGAGGAAATAAAGGGTAAAAGAGAGAGAGAAGCTCCAATTTGCTGCCTTCATAATCACTTTTAACATTCAGATGTTAATTAAATTGCTTCGGTGTTCCTTTCACGAGACACGCTGTAAGAAATTTCAAAATGGCGGCTTTTTATCGTCTGTTTACGAAACGATTTATTTTTTTTTTAATAACAAAATTGAACACATCTTAAATAAACAGGTTGACTAATTTTCTGGAGGGCCTGTTAAGGATTCTTGTAGATTAGCATTTATTAGACTTTCAAGCCATGATTGACAGAAACGAAAACTGATTTTTTACATAAAAGGGGTCCAGTTTATAATATGGTTAAAATGTAAAATCAATCGCTGATTTTTTTTTAAAATGTTTATTTTATTACAAAAATTTCGTTTAAAGTAGAAAAAAAAATAAACATAAGATTTTGTCTGAAAAAAAGTTACATAAATTAATCAAAGTCTGATTCGTTTATTCTTCATTTAAGACAAAAAAAAAAACTTATTCCTCTGTCTGAGAATTGCTTCCGCCCAAAAAAGAAGCGAAAAATATACAAACATTTTTGATGAAGCCAGAGTTTCAAACATAACATGTGTAAATAACAATTTAAGTCCAATAATTCTTCCAAAGTCAGGAATCGATTTTACACGATATTGATATTATGAACAAGACCCTCACTTTATAAATCGTAAAAAAATGAATAATTTTTTGATCCTGAAAAATGTCGTTGTCGCTTTAAGAAAATCCAATGATTTTTAATCTACAAAAATTATTCCTTCCCCTGAAAAATGTTTGCTATTTTAATAAAAATGATCCAATATATTTAAGTCGTGCCGATAAGTGAATTAAGTTTTTGGAAATATTAGAAATTTTCTACAAGCGAAATAAAGAAGGAGGAAGAAAGCAAAGAAAAAAAATTCGATGATTGACAGGAAAGAAATAAGCAAACGACATGGTGTTGTTTCTCGCAAAATGAATTGAGCGGGAAAGGGCTGTGACGTCATTGGAATTTAAGGCATTTCATTGGATGAGAATATCCACACCAGTAGACTAAAGGGCGTTTCCTAAGATAACAAGGGGGAGAAAGAATGTGAAGGGGAGGAAGGAGTAATTAGAGAGAGAAGAAAAGGTGAGAAAATCACTGACGTCACACACACAAAGACATGTACAGGTAGACACACAAAACAAACACACACACATGTGTCTAGTGTGTATGTATGTGGTCTTGTATATATGTGTGTGTGTGTGACATTGCAAAACATTTTGTAAAAAATTACTTCATAATATTTACATTTTATATTATGTATGAATCTATCTATCTATCTATCTATCTATCTATCTATCTATTTATCTATCTATCTATCTCGAGACTTTTTGTCTTACCGAGTTTACCGCGAGCTGTACAAGACATTTTCTTTGGATATTCTTCAGAGGAAGTGTTATTTTTGTTTGCCTCCCATTATCATCTTGTGTATCCATTGTTGTTTTGTATTGTTTCGAATTGTTTTGGGGTCACGAGGGTAGACCGACATCATGTTGGAGCCCGAATCTCTTCCTGCTTCCCCTGCAGAAGTAACTCCTTCGGCATAGGCAAGGGATAGGCCCCCACAAAAAAGGGGCCAGAATATTTCAAAAATTTAAAAGAGAAGTTAATGGAAATGAATTATTACCGGTGCCGTCTGTATTGGACACGGTGAATCCAAGGACAATCTCCTTATTAACAACGGACCCTAAGACCCGGAAACTAAATATCGATATTAAGGAAGTGATGGAGGAGGCTCTGAAAAGTCTTCAAATTGCAGTCCAAATTCTAGCCAGAAGAAGTAAGTCAATGTGGGACATCTTATTGCCGACAGAAAAGAAAGCCAAATCGCTGGCAGGCTGTTGTCTAACTACTTCAAGAGTAAGGCTTCAGACTGAATATATGGGGACGAGAAATGCAAAGGTGACTCTACATAGAGTGACACTCTACATATCTGAAGACCATATTGTTTTTTTATTTTCTAAATATAGGGACGTTTCTGACGTCTGCCATATTAAAAGTAAGTCCGGAATTACCACAGGCGATATTGAAATATCAATTATTAGCAGTTATATTAAATTGAAAGCAATTTACGGAAATACCCAACACTTTAATGTGTGAGGGTAGACTTATCTATGTCGTTGTGGAGGGTTGTCGACCACTTTGTTGGGCTTATTTCTATTGCTATACATTTGTCGAAGGCTTGCCCGGATGAAATCCTGTCCCCGACCAAAAAATGAAGCAGAAACATCACAGCCAACTTCACAGGCAATAGCATAGATATATAGCACTGTTCATATCTATCTATCTATCTATCTATTCCGGCCGATGCTATTGTCTATCTATCTATCTATCTATCTATTCCGGCCGATGCTATTGTTCATCTATCTATCTATCTATCTATCTATCTATCTATCTATTCATCTATCTATTCCGGCCGATGCTATTGTTCATCTATCTATCTATCTATCTATCTATCTATTCCGGCTATGCTATTGTCTATCTATCTATTCCGGCCGATGCTATTGTCTATCTATCTATCTATCTATCTATCTATCTATCTATAGATGCAGAACTATACACATAAGCGTCCGGTTCACACTCCTATCTTCTAAAACCCTTTCCGTTCTCTTTCACTGCCAACAGACCCTTTCTTGGGGGTGAATTAATCAATTCACATATATATAAAACACACATAGACAAGCACACACCCAATTTGATTGTGTCCGAAATAAGACACTGGAATAATGCATTTTCCTTCCACTCCGTCTGAACAGCCTCTAACCTGGTCTGAGTAATAATGTTGGAGACATGGAAAATAAAAAAGTAACTAAAACTTATTAACAAAAGACTGAAAATGAATTAAAATCTTGATAAAAATCTAATTTAGCCATGTTGCAAATATAAGTAACTTGAAATGAAAATTATTCTATTCTTTAATTTTCAAGACCGGCAAAAAAAAAAAGAAAAAGGAAAAAAAACATTAAAAGTTAAAACTACCAAAACCAAAAATAACCACCAACTGAATTCCAAGTCTTACAAAAAAATCAGTGGTTTTCGTATCTCATTTGGTCTCTGGAGGCACACACAGACACACACACACACATACAAAGACATGTACAGATTGGCAAACACACTCACACACTCACACACACGCATATATCCTATCTAAATTGCATATTAGACCCGGATATGTTCCCCATGAAGTGTCAGTCGGATTCTCAAACTGAAAAATAGGTTTCATGGCGTAACAAAGTCTTACCAAGATGAAATGAAAATCATTGACCTTTCGTCATTCGTGATCCTTTAAAACCTTTCACATCAATTATATTGAAAATGTTGTTGTCATCGAACAATGGCATAATGATCGAGTTGACATTCTTATATAAATTAAGATGACAATTTGTGACTTCTTTTTATTTTTCTTACCGTTGTTGGCATGAAAGCAAAATGTTTAATTATTAAAATTTCCTTTCAAGCAAATCTAACCTTGTTGAAATTCAAATTAAATTTAAACATCAAATTATCTATTGACCCTTGACACGCAATAATGTTGCTTTCATTCATGACCATCAACAATTCAACTTCTAATCACACGACTTTTAAGATAATAATTAGTAATTATTGTTGACATAATAAACAATTGTTTAAAGCAAAAAGTAAAATGAAATTAGGATTTGAAATGATTTATTATCTCTAGACTCTCAGTAAAGTTGCTTTTATTCCTGACCATCGACTATTCAGCTTCGATTCACTCGACTTTATAAAAATGACGCATATATTGAATATATAATATTTCCACAAGCACTAGTAATATTAGTAGCAGTAGTAATATAATCATCACTAATTTCTTCATAAGTAAAAGGCATTGAGTTTTAAAACAATAATGTCTATTCACTACAGATCAAGTGACACCAAGCCTCTATCATTTCCATGTGTTGCCGTGATGATGATTATTATTATTGGTATTGATCTCTGGATTTGTCTTCAACCTTAAACCAAAACTGAGATACTTCTGTAAATTTGTTTAAAAGCAATAAAAAGTAAAATGTTTTTCAATAAATATAAAATTTAAATGCATTTGAAAGTTGAATCCATACACGCACATGTTATGTAATGTCATAAAAAGTCAACATAAGCTGAAATATTAATTAATGAAGGCAATTTAAGTTCTAATTCATGGAAGTTAAACTTTAGGATACATTTAATAGGAATTAACTTCCAGATAATTTTTTTTTTCAAAATGAAAATTTAGGTCAA